GGAGCACTCATTGATAAACGGATCCTTTCCCTGCCCCAGGTAGAGAGACACTTACCATTCTCATTATGTCTCATTAACTGCTGTTGATTAACAATATGTCGCATGAATTGAGTATTATTTTGCAATATTGTAACTGACTCCTAAGCTTATTAAAGAACATGATGGCAGATATCCACCACACACACGCACGCAAACTATATTTAGGAAGTCTAACTACACACAGACAGAGACTGGGTTCCTCCATCAGGATAGTGGGCGGTGGCATGCGGTAGAGGAGCCTGGCCCGCTAGGAGCTGACAGTCACTGGTTTGTAGGGAAACATAAGGACTGTCACTGTCCATTGTGAGAACGAGGATGGATGCTTCCTCCTCCTCTTTTCTTCGGTGACTGGTGAGGACAGAAGGCTTCCAGGCCAGCTCCTTAGGCGGCAGCACTCGTAGCCAGCTGTCTTCCAGTCTGGATGCCTGAGTACCCCCAGTGCTCAATTTACGAGAGAGAGAGAATTTTTTACCCAGGTAAATCAGTTCGAAAGGACAGAACTGGATGTTGGTGACGGGCAATTGCTCCTCTGGCCGGAAGTGAGTCATGTTACAGGTTAAGGCTTCTGTGAGGAATGGAAGAGCAGTGACGTTCAGGCTAAAGAGAGCCTCTGTTTTTATTAATTATAAGGTCAGAGTCTGAGTTTTCTGGACCCAAGAGGCTGAGCAAGGAGTTGGGAAGCCAGGGCCACCCTGTGGCAGAGACGAACGTGGCTGGGCGTTGCACACGCATCCTGGCAAAGCGCGTTGCTCTGCCGAGGTCTGCGGAGAACAGTGCGCCCGGGCTGCCCCTCCCAGTGGTGTTCTCGCTGAGGCGTGGCCTGGAAGCTGTTCTCGAGTTGGAATCCCTAGTAGCAGAGGAGATGTGGATAGTACCGACCTAAACTATTGAACATTTTTAAACATCCAGGTGACGATTTGGGGGAACGATGACTGGAGCGGAGAGAAGCTCTGTGTTTTAGTTGGAAATTGTTAGAACAAGTACTTGATAACATGCATTAGATAATCAAGAAGCAAGAACTGCTTTGCAGTTTTCTAATGGGAGACGCCAGCAAGAAGATATACATTCCTCAGTTTACACCGGGAGTTAAAAGAAAATCATTGCCTACTTATTGGTTCATTTTGTAAATTGAGATCAATGAAATTCTCTGAACAACAGCATGAAATCAATCGTGAAATAGCATATAATTCATGGCCAGTATTGTAAATTATAGTTTGCTTGACAGCAATCGGTGAGGATTCCGTGCACTGAGGTACATTTCCGTGTAGTGTCTGTGGATCCATTTCTGATGCCTATCAGATAGACTGACCTGTTTTTCTCTTCATCCCAAATTCTCTGTTTGTTCTTATGCAAATGATGCAATCAAGCAAATGGACAACAGGATGGAATTGCTGAGGGGCTCTGGCAAACAGTGGCTGGACGTTTTCTGGATCCCCCACCCTCCGTCAACCCCCCCTTAGTTTTGTGTACATACCTGCAGTTGCTGGGATCCACTGACCCGTGGCATTGCCCTTGAAGGGCCTGGTCCCTTCTGTGGAGACATCATCACCAAATCAGCTGCCATGGGGGAAGAGAGAGTCCTTACCCCACTCCTCTTGGTTTTCTTGCTCTGCTCTCTTGGCTTTGGATTTGAAGCTGGGGGGTGTGTGGGCTCCACCCCGAGCCGCGCCTCAGTCCTGCTTCCTTTGGAACCCTCCTTCTCACTGTTGCAAATGTTTCAACAGGAAATCTCTCATTTTGATTGTTCTTTTTCACATAGCTACCCCACCTGATTTGACCTCCTCTTTTCTTGTCTAGTTTCCTCTTCCCTTTTCCTCACCACCTCCTCCCATCTGACCAAGGGTTTCCCGGTCCGGCCACCGGTGCAGCCTCCTCTAACATGGATCGTGGTATGTTCTAGTCCCTTCTTTTTCCCATGCCTCATTATTCAGAGGACACAAGGGACACTTCATCTTCTTATGGAAATACATTAAGAATAATCCACTTCGGGGTGGACAGTGCAGGCATAAAAATGACTTGGAAGTCAAAAAAGCTATTTAATCAGATTGGCTTTCTTTGTACTGTTGAGTTTATAGTTTCAAGAATCCAAAGAAAACCCTCAATTCCTATTATAGCAAAGGCATCAGATTTCTCAAACCAGATAGGATGATTTTGTGATTTATCTTAAAAAAAACAAACAAACAAAAAAAAACCCAAATGGAAGATGATTTTAATTGTAAGTTTGGAAGTCTTGGCTTAGTGGTTATCGTAGGCATGAATCAAGTGCGAGGTGAGCATGAAGCATTTATAAACCTCAGTCAACAAGACATATTCCTGCATCCCTCTGCCTGTGAGTAGCTGTGTCTGTGTTTCTGTAACTCGACTCAGTGTCTGGCCTTGCTCCCCACAGTCACTCTTGGGGTCCCTCCCGCGCCCCTGAAGGTGTGGAAGCTCCAGGGTCTTAGACGGCTTCTTGGCGTGGGGCGTGGGGCCATCCGCCCAGGCCGCTTCCTCCTCTGTCCCTCCGGAGGTCGCCCTCTCAGCAGGTCTCCTCGCTGCCCGCGCATCGCCCTCCGGAACCTGAAATTGCTGCGGTGTTTTCTGGCGCCCTGCCCGCCGGCCGGCTGGCCAGCACACACCAAGGTCTTTTCCTTTGCTGGGGTCTGTCCCCTGCCTGGAACTTTACCTTGGAAACAGGCATGGGGCCCCTCTGCCCCAGATCCTGCGCGTTTCTCTCTCCTCCCTTCTTTCTTTAGCCCGTCCTCCGGGAAAGCTGAGGTGGGGGAGGGTCGGGTCCGCACACTGTTTGTTTCTCCTAAACGTTAAATCTAAACCCTGTGCTCTCTTCCTTCCCCTAATGGCTTTGTCCAGAGGTTCTCTTGCTCTTTCTGCTTTCTGAGCAGTCGCGTTCTGTTTCATATGTAGTACCTATTTTATAGGTAAATTCTGACTTTATAATTTGAGAGAAATTTAGAGGAGAGTAAGGGAAAGACATGGGGTCAGGGGAAGAGAAGAGCAGAAAAAAGGCATATTGATTTGGACCCCATGGCACAGATACCGACTATTATAGAGGTTCAAAAGAGAGCTTCAAAGTAAGGCCCCGCTCAGTTCCTCCATAGAATGGGCCAAATCATGGAAGGAGAAAAAAATAATAAAAGGTCAGCGCAATGAAGAAAGAAAGAAAGGAGACAAGACAGTAGTAACTGCTGAAAAATGCCAAGGGTCCCGTTCAAATGAGAAAAGCTGAAACGATAGCGGACTCTTCAGCCTGTGCAGCGATGTTCCCCAGTCACACCTGACAGAGAGGGCGCGTATTAGAGAAACGAGCTGGTGACGTTTCCCGGGAGCTCGGGATTGAGGCAGCTGATCCAGAAGAGCCCTGGGGAGGCGGACACCGTCAGAGGCCTGGAGAGTGTGGCTCTGAAACGAGCGATGAGCGTTCGCAGCGAGGAACACGCAGATGTTGTGAACACTCTGGAAAGAAGCGCCTGGATGTGGGTGGTGTCAAGGGCGTGACTGCAGGAATGTGACAAATGGAGGAGGTGGGGGTCACCGGTCTGTGGTTAGGTGGGGAGATTTTAAATTGAGAACCTCGGAGACGGTCGCAGAGATGATGAAGCGGTGGGCGCTGTCACTAGGCTGGGTGTTGGGGAAATGCAGTCCAGACGAAGGACATTACCTTTGCGGGAGCGACCGTGAGGCCAGAGTCAGGGCTGAGTGGTTACCGAGAACGCTGGAGTTGCCAAAGCCCGGGGGTGTGACGGGGAAGCAACCCGGCCAGTGCTGACGTCACGAGGAGAGGCGCGGCGGGACGCAGGAGGTGTGATGGGAGTCGGCAGGGCTCCGGCTACGTTGTCCTCAGCAGGGAATTGGCATTGGTAACCTACAGTGGTCTTTTCTCCATCTCTGATGCACATGGACCTCTTAGAAAGTTCAAAACTATATGTAATGAAAAATTTAAATCATCCATGTGCCCTCACTTTGGGAGACCCCTGTTAACATTGTGGTGTACCTCCGTCTCTTGTTTGTCTCATGAAGCATTTGTGCTTGGGAAATCCGTTTCGGCATTCAGACACGTACGAAAGCATGGCTGATGTTTAAACCTGGATAAAGTTGACAGGACTTCGGTTAGGCTCATTCAGTAAGGTAACTGAGTACCTTTGCAAAGGAGGTATTGAGATTTCAGGGTTGAATTAGTAAACTGCACATTAGGTTGTTGTCACGCTTATGTTCAAAACCTACACTGTGGCAGGCATTGTGCTAGAGACTGAGGATGCAAAATGAGCCTCACACCGTTCCTTCCCTTACAGAGTTCGCGCTGATGGCTCGACTAGGTAGTCATGTAAACAAATCATCGTGTCAGTGTTGCGAGCATTATGCTCAAGGTATGTGCACATACGGTGGGAGGGAGAGGAGAGGATAAGAGCTCCATCTTGTGCCAGAGGTCACGACGGAACGTGTTAGGGACACCTTAAGACAGGAGCAGGCACTTGCAGCTGAGCCTGGCCAGCTTCAAGGTCAAACCGTAGTTGGCCAGGTCCAGGGGAAAGAAAGGAATTCAGCAAAAGGAATTACAAGCTCAGAGGCATTGTTACAAGCTGCACATTTGAATTTCAAAAGCAACTCCTGTCGTCTTCAAATATGCGTTTAAAAATCATCTAAATGTCTCATTTATTTTTTATAGAGCCATTGAGCTAACTCTAAACTCAGAAACCATTCACCTGGTCAGCGACACTCAGGAAGACGGTCAGATTGTTAAAATGGAGAGGTTAAACCAGGAGCTTGACTGACAGTTGTCTACTTAAAAATAACCATAGTATATTTAAAGGATGAAACAGACTATTGGAATTGATTTTGATGGCTATTGATTCTTATTTTAAGCTTTACTTTAACAGTTTCTAAGTCGGGATGTAGAGAAGGAGCGAGATCTTGGAAATAAAATGTATAATTGTAAATAAATTCTTGTTTCCCTCACGTCCTAGATTTAGCAGTATTTACGCCCCACCAGTTTCTGCTTGGGGCGTGCACCCACGCGGGATGTACGAACAGCTCCCTGGCCACCCTGCACACGGCACAGCTGCCCCCAGACCACGTGGATCCCCCGATTCTGACCATCCTGGATTCCAGAACTGTCTATGTACAGTAAGTAGAAACATTGTTTCTGTCACACAGGGGTTCCCGCAAGAATCCCAGCGAGTTCAATCAAGGGAAAGGTTTGTGACATAGAATTAATTTTATTGTGATTAAATGCATGGGAGTGATTAGTTCAGTGGTTCTGGGAGCCTTTGATTATCACTTGCCAACTTAATTTCCATTTCGTCTCTATGCAATCAGGCCGAGCTACATTTGTACACAGATTCTGTGCAAACTCCAATAAGGGGAAAACTGACCACTTACATGTCTGCCTTGGCTTTTATGGGTGAGGCATTATTTGTAATCCTACGGAATTACAGAGTATGCATATACATTTTGTTTTTGAGGATAGACTAGGACCTTCTTGTTCCTTTTTGGTTGAAGTCACAGAGGAACTTTTACATATAGGCATGTTCAGATTATTTTTGGCATTAGTGACTTTTATGTATTTCCTAATATAAGAGGTACTGGGTTTAATACATTACTGACTAAAGCTCTCTTATCACCAGTTGATATTTGTTTATATTCGTCTCTCTTGGTCTCAGTTTTCTCATCTAAGAAAGAAGAATTTGGTCTAAATATTCAGGCTGAAAAAACATTATTCATATGCCATTGTTCCAAATCTAAACTCTCCCATCAGCTTTCCTTTTTGCCCTAAACCAATCCCACTTTTTTACCGCAAAAGATATCCCACTACTCGAAGTATTTCTCCATTTACCAATTTCTGTCTATTCCTTGACCTGCCTATTCATTCTCACTGATACATTGTAACCCCTCAGGTGGACTATGCCCTACCTTCCCTACCAGACCCAGCCCGTCTCTCAAGTACCCAGGCGTGCATCTGGGTCACGAGTCTCCTCGTTCAAGAAGTCTGACTTCCCCGCTGCAGCCCTTCCCCCCCACCCCTTCTCTGCCTTCTGTAGTTGCACACTAACTCCTGGGTCACCGCCTTCTTCCAGACAAGTTCGTCTTTCTCTGCCCCTCCCATTTTTCACAAGTGCTCAGATGTTTTACCTCTCCCAGTTATTGTTCAGTGGCTTGAGTTGAAAATCAAGTGCTCACTCATGCATTTTTGTATGATTCACTAATTAAAATTGTAAGTAACTAGAGAGCAGACACGATGTCTTATTCTTATTTTCTTTAAACCATCCAGAATAGACATTTAATAACTACTCAGGTTTCTTTTTTAAAAGTAAACCACTTTGGGGCTTTCAATGTGTATTTTTACTGTGGCATAAATTCAAGCTCATATGTGTCCAATAAAAATTGTGCACATTTCAGGCTTGACTTGAATGAAAGATGACAATAATGCTCTATTTTCCCATTCCTAGGTGGAAACAACCAAGGAAAGTAAATGGAATTCTGGAGCGTTATGTATTATATATTTCAAGTCACATGCATGATTTTACAATTTGGGATGTCATCTATAACAGTACAGAGCTTTTTCAGGATTGCAGGCTGCAGTACCTTTTGCCTGGTACTAAATACCTCATCAAGCTGGGGGTGAGTTCACTTTACCGTCGTCACTCTCCCTGGCCCTTTCCTCCTCGCCCTGCTGCTTCCCTTTGTACCATCTTCTCTCCCTCCGCCCCCCCGCAAAAAAAGGCACTTCACATATTGCTATTCACACTGAAAACTCACTTCACATCCTAAATGTGAATTATGTTGATCTAGTACCTACATTTATTTTATGTTATGCTGAAAAAATGATAGCATAACAATCTGAAGTCAGTAGGTTTTCCCAAATCTAATTTAGGATTATCAGAAATTGTTTCTTTTTTATTATTTGTAGAATGTCATAATTGTTGAGGGCTTTTTCTAAAATGCTTGGATTAATAAGGTTATTTCCCCATGGAGCGTGTATTCATTTGAAAACAATGCACAGTATGAAAATTTAGGTCTTATTTTTTAAATGAAGGTTTAAATGACCCCCAGATATTCTTGATCATTATTATATTCTGGTTTACATTACTCTTCTATCTCAAAAGAACAATCGTTTAATAAAACCCTAGAATTAACATAGTTCAGAGGTTTCTTTGGACAGACAATAGCAATTTTTTTTCATGCAAAATAGCACTTTTATACAAAGGTCTTTTTAAAGACCTTGATATTACTGTGGAATTTATACTCAGTAGTTCCTTTTGTTTTTTGATGAAATGTAATCTTTTTTAAGTTTAATAGCACATCTGAAAATAACTGAATATAAACATGAGATTGTCCCTATTTGTTTTAAACACACTCTTCATTTTATAGCAATACCTATATAAGGATATTTGCTTTGATAAATGCCATAGAAAATATTCTGCTCTTGATTATGAATAAATTTACATTTATGTAGACACTGTGTATGCATTCATTTTACTTAACATGCTCTTGAATGCTCTAAATATTATACCACGAGAAAATAAACTACATTCAACTATTGCTAAGTGTCTGACCTGACACCATAAAACAAGGGCAACCAGACAATGTTAAAAATCCTGTTCAGAACTGGACCCACATGCCTAGGTATTGAACACACAGGTGCATTTATGAACAGCACCTTTGATTACTTACATTATTCCCCTGATGTAAAAAATAGAGTAACTCAAGTTTCAAAAACTAATATACAAATCCACCCTATTTTCAGAACAGCAGTAATATTAAAATCTGGAATATTCTCTGTTGCTTAGAAGCACCCACAATGAGAAAGACATTGTCATGCTTGGTTTTTATCAGAAGGAGACAAATGACATGGAATGGGTCTATTCTCAAGACCATCTTTGGGGTATGCTAGGCAATCAGTGAGCCCCCACCCTTTGTCCTGACTGCTGTGGTTTAGTTAGTTGGGTGTTGTCCCATGAAGCCGAAGGTCACTGGTTTGATTCCTGGTCAGGACACATGCCTGAGTTGCGAGCCCAGTCTCACTTGGGGTGCGTGTGGGAAGCAACCAGTCGATGTTACTCTCACAAATCGATGTTTCTCTCCCTCTTCTCCCTTCTCCCCTCTCTAAAAATAAATAAAATAAATCTAAAAAAAAATAGCCCTGATGCCTTATGTTTTACAAATCTGTAATATCTTGAAAAATAAACACCAGTAGATTGTGATTCCACTCTCTTGAGTTTTAATTTAGATTTTGCCACTACCTATGTGGACTGAGGCAAATTTACTTAACTGAGTTTTATGGTTTTCAAGCCCTAAAGTTCTATGATGCTAAAAAGGTGACCCCAAACAATATTATATGGAGTCAAAAGAGATCCATCAGCCACTGAGTAATGTTGATGCAAGATGGCATAAAGATGTGGAAGTCTTGCCCTAACTGTTGTTAATAAATCTGCTCATGTGTTTTATTTATTATTTTAGGGCAGAAAATACACTAATAGATGCTTGGGAAGTATTTAAAAGGTTTTTTACTCAACTTTGTTAACCAGTTAACTAAGTGAACCAGAATATTTTAGGTTCCTCTTGATTAATTGAGGGATTACTGTATATTTCACAGTCTAAACACAGCTGGCTTTCAGGGTCACTAGATTAGTAGATGGAGGTAGGTCCTCAGCCAAGCGGCATGGCCTTTTTAGGGAGTCTGAGCATGTTGTCTAAGTGCTGGAAAACAAAACGTGCAGATATCAGATACATCAAGCCGCCTTCAGAATAGAGGAAAAATACAGGGGAATTGGAACCATTGTGATTTTTCTCTAGACTGAGAGCGAATCTGTCACTTCCTGTGTCTTTGTTTAATTTCTCACGTGGACTGGATTGTAACCTCTCACAGGGGTGGAGACTATGTCTTTTGAAATTCTGTCTGCAGAGCCGAGCGCAGTGCCTGGTGGGAACAGGAGCTCGGCACCCGATTCCCAAATGAAGGAACCCTAAGTAAATTTATTTTATTAAAAATCTGCGACTTCTGATATAAATTGATTAATTTGCTGAAAAATGTCAGAGTTGGAACTGTGTGATTCCAAACTTTCGTTCTTTCCAGTAGAAGAAACAGTGTAACATATTCTTACACTCAAGAAATGGTGTCGCGAAGGGTGGTATCCCTAATAACAAGAATATCAGCAATTAAATAATGAAGATTGTAAGACAAGTATCAAGATATGTGTGGTTTGATCATTTTCATATTACTTCTAGGCATTTGCCGCTTAATGCCTCTTAATGAAAAGTTGTGTTAAATATATTTCCTGAAAGGATTCTTGGAAATGATAAGCTTCACTTTTCAAAAGGTCATTTATAGATGATTTGGCCTTATTCCTTTTCTTCATGCTTTATGCTGCATTCTTAACATCCTCAGATCTGGAAAGATACGAATGGAAAGAGAATGCTAGTTTTGGATGTTCCTAATAGTCATGTTTTAAAAAATAATTAATACATTTTTATTAGTTATGCATTTCATTAGACCACAACTGAATTCCCAATTTGGTCAGAAGTTACTCATCAATTCAGGGTAATACAATGACTTTGCATTTCCTTAAATGGCTGTAATTGAGGAAAGCTTTGGAGATGGTTTGAGACACCTTATTTTAATAGCTCAGAGACTTTCAAAGACTCTGCCATTTCATAAAGCCACCTTTATTCATTCTCACTATTTTCTTTAGATTTTCCAAACTAGAATTTTAATAAGCATTCAGTTGCATCGAAGGCAGTGGCCTCTGGTGCCCACAGGTCAAACAAGACACTGATTGATTCAATTTCATTTAGATGATATCAGCTACATTAGATCAATTGGGAAGCAACCTTAAGAACATGTATTCCCTATCGATGGACTGCCTCTTAACACCTCCAAATGCACGCAGAAAGGATGTGGAAAAAACAAAATAACATTTTGCAGGAATTTGTTATTTCAGTAGCCCCTTTATAAATTTGTTTTGTTTACAAGGAAAAATTATCTCATGAGCCCTTCAGATTTTTGAGAAGTTCTTTGTCAGCATCGCTAGTTTATGGATCTTTCATGACAGCGCAGACAATGGTCCTTCCAGAGTAGAGGGTGTCTTTGTTTATCCCAGGGGGCATCATAAAATTCCAAAGCAAGTAACTGTTATTCACATTCTGTTTTTTAAAATATATAATTTTATGTCACATAGTACAGTATTTCTTTGGGAAGTAACAGCAGAGAATTGGTCTTAGGTTATTAATGAGAAAAAACAATAGTGACAGATAGATTATCAGAATTAAATCCCATTCCATTAAGAGTTTACCAATAAGATGCTGTAATATTTTTTTCCCTCCGAAGGGAAAAAAAAAATCTAGGGACTGCAAAGGCAGACAGATTTCTCTCTCCCTAAGGGCTGGAAAGAAGGCCCCTCTGACCACTTTCCTCTGATAACACAGCTGTCCCTCTTGGCCTCTCTTCCTGCCCCATTGTCTGGTGGATTTTTAGCCTGTTGGAGATGTTTGGATTCTTCTATTGTAATGTTCATATAGTTGTTCTTGGGCTGACAGTGACGTGTCTTCGTGTCTTGGAGCTTTGAGTCAGGGCCTGACCACCAGCTCGATTGATTCTTCTTTATTTGCCAAGGCTCTGTCCTCAGGAGGAGGATGGCGTCTCTCTGACATGCATATGCACATACCACAGCTGAGAATTAGAGGGAGCCCACGAGGTTAATTAGGTCCCCAATCTTAATGCAGTTTCATGCCCAGGCCACCGTTAACCCATCCGGACCTTGCTGACGCTGATGAGAAGTTATCCTGGATGCGTGGGCTAGTATTGTGTTTGTGCAACAGCACGTGAGACTGAGCTCCATGCCAATTGACCATGTATTGTTATTTATGCCTGTAATGAATTATTTGCAATGATTTTTGAATATTAAACTTCAGTATAAAAAAAAATCTTTAAAAATCAGCTTTCTCCTATCTCTAGGGAAAAGAATATTGACTGTGTTAAGTATCAAAAGGCGATTCCTCATTATCAAACTAAAAAGTAGGGACAGGCCCAAAGAAATAAAAAGGTATTTTAGGTGTTTATATTAGTAATGTCTACCTTCCATGACAGTGGACTGATTAACTGTCTGCTTTTTACATTGTCCTATGACTTTGCTTCATTTTCTTACTGATTTGGTAAAAAAAAAAAAAAAAAAAAATACAGTGCTTTTTGAAAGATTTTTAAATTTCATGGTGCAAATTATAGTTGTGACCTAGAGAGATACTGAACAAAACTTAAGTACAGTTTTCAAATACCTGGGTTATTTATATAAAGATGTAGTCACTGATATTTTCTAGCAAATTTAGTCTAGAAATATCCTGTGTGCCTGTCTCAGTTTCGTGGAGAAATGGTTATCCAGCAATTTAGGAAGTGAAGATATTTTCCTAACACGTTTAAACCTTTATTTGAGGATTATTTGCAATTTATTGTGATAGTGTAGACAGAAGTTTCCAAATGTCTTTAACACCCATATTTCTGTTTTTGGCATTAGCGATACCTTATTGGGGAATGAGAGAGGTGGTTCTGTGACCCTTTTAAGTTTGTCAGCCGTCTAACAGAGCCCATGTCCTCTGGCATTTAAGTACAATTTGACCTTAGGGCATCAAGCAGTCACTCAGCAACTTCTTAGTGGTTGATTTATGAGAAACACTGTTTTATTCAATTACACTGTTATATTGGTCACACTGTAGTATATAAAGGGCAATTATATTTTCTATACATTTTTTTTTCAGAAATCCCTTGTTTTATCCTGATGTAGTCTTCAGTCTCTCATACTTTTTTCATGGGGTACATACACACGTGTGTTTGTGTTTAATTCATTCCACAACAGGAGCCTTTGCACAAGGCTAATTTAATAAGGGCTGTTCACCCAGACACTGTACAGGGGTGGACAACAGTACGTTTTCAGTTGTTCGTAAGGAAAATGATATAATCATTAATAAATAATGATACATGAATAAACCCTGGATTTTGCACACTCCCAACCATAGACCTGCTTTTGCCCACCCCTGTATGACCTGTGTCTAGGCTCTGACTTAGGATGTATTCTGTTTATTTCTATACTCATGCATTCTGGATTATTTTCTAATTGTTGAAAATGGCTGTCTGGCGTCCTTAAAAAAAGACAAACCAAACTAATCGAATGTCAAGCCTCAGTATTGAAACAAACTTATTTTTGTGGGGTAAAGGGAGTTTTTTTTCAAAGAATCTTAAACTCTTAGCATGAATTCTTTCTTCAGTGCTCATCTAAACTTTTGGGACCCAGAGTGAAATGCGCTTTCCCCCATCTCTGTCCAGGCTTGCACGGCGGGCGGGTGTGCCGTGAGCGGGGCCAGCGAGGCCCAGACTGCGGAGGGCGTGCCCGAAGGTGTGGCCGCCCCCAGCGCACACTCCCACTCACCCTACTCCTTCAACGTCTCCTGGACGGAGCCTCAGCATCCAAACGGTGAGTGAACCCTTTTAGCCTCAAGTTAAAAAGATGATTAGCAAAAGTAAATTAATATTCCAAATGGCAGCTTATATGTGGTGCTTAATTTTTAATGATCATTTTAGCACATAAAATACCTGAGATAGTATCCTTGTCCATAGTTGAGAGACTGTGGTTTTTAGGCTAACACAATTTTGGTGGCTCAAAGGTGCTCCCTTTTGATAGTTCCTGTGTACTGCATCCTGTTGTTTAGCATGTTCCAGGAGAGGTGAAGAGAGCAAATTGGGATTCCTTAAGAAGGCCCTCACGACAATGGCATTGGATTTTTCAATGACTTTTTGTTTTTGACAGACGTTTGCTCTTTCTGGGAGAAGTAGGGAAGAGGAAAGTCACGCACATAATTGTATTTCAAAATGCTTTTGATTTAGTAAGTTTATCTTAAGAGATCACTGGAAACTCAGTATTTTTAATATATTGTTTATAAATATTTCAGCATAATGTTTTTAAACAATGCATATATTAAGTATATATGCATTTATGCTTGCTTCACTTGAAGAGGATTGTATATGTTTCTAAGTGGTATACACATCTTTACATGGTTTAGAGAATAAAGTTAGCCACTTAAAGTTTGCTAAAATAAAATAAAAGAGTTTTTATAATAACTCGGGGTAGGAATTGCTTTATTCATTGAAAAATATTTTTATACTTCATACTGCATAGTGTCATTGTTCAAAACTGTGGAAGCTTACATAACATCACATTTTGTTCCTCTTTAACACAAATATCAGAAAGACTTTTAATATCATAGAAACTGTTTTAAGTAACTCATTATTGAAAATTGAAATGGCCTCTTTTAGCATAGCTAAAAAGAATAAAAGAAAAAAATTGCAGTTTTATTAGTTTTTCTTATGTTTACTATGATATTAATTATTCCAGTCATCTCATTTTAATTAAACTTTTGGCAAGTACAGTAGATATATTTGAGGTAGTAGAGAAGGCTTTAATACTTAAAATGAGTAATTATCTCTGCTATTGAAGTTATTCCTGTACTATTACAAATTTTCTAATAAAAATAAATGGATGTCTATTTGATACTTACATTAAACAGTGGAAAATCTTGTCATACTTCATGCTGCACAAAGAAGTCTAGTCCATAGGTGGCAATGAAAATGTTAATGATTTATTTCAGCTGGAATGCTGTTGAATGCTGTGACATGATTTGCCTAGTAGAACACTCTCCTTCATCCCAGTTGGTGGTTGCAACTGGCTTTATAGCTGCGCTCAGAATCCTAGGCTGGCTAGAGAAATGTATTCTGTGTTTCAGAAAATCTTTGCATATTAAGTCTTGTGCACTCACAAGCAGTTTTAAAATATTCATCAAAAAACAATAAGAACTTGGGAGATTTTTGGTGATTTGTGTTAACACTTACATTATAATTTAAAGTCCAGTGTTTAATCTCATCAGAATTTATAAAATGTTTAGGAAAATGATTAGACATTTAAAAAGTAATAGTTTCATTAAATTACTTTTCTTCTTTTCACTGCTCCTCTCTTAACTTTTTCCATTTTCACCAGGATTCGATGTCTTTTGTCTGGAAAGGGATCATCTGATTATTGGAAAACGTCTTGCCCCTCAGTCTGTTCTCAAAGCCCCCCACACTTCTCCCTAAAAAAGAGAAGAATAAAGTCCAAACTGTTTATTCTGGTATTCGGATCCTCCCAAATTGTGACTCAGATTGCATTTGTATAGCCTCGAGATCCACTTTCCTTTATCACCAGCCTAGAATATTTATAGCCTTATGTAGGTTTGAAAGATGTGGGCGTGGAGTCAAATCTTGTCTCTGACGTGTAGTAACTGTGCTACTTTGGGAAACTTACTAAATTCCATGAACCTCAGTATCTGTTAACTCCAACTGGAGTTAACAATTGGCACCATCCCTTTGTCTTTACCTGTAGAAATCTGGCTCCTTCTCCTTTCTCCTGATTTTTTTCCCCTCTTCCTTGAGCTTAAGCGAAGCTGTCCCTCTTCCCTTGACTGTTTACCTTGTGTCTGTGCCTTCACAACGGCAGATACTTCACTCATCCCGGGCTCAGATTTATTTGGGTACGTGTCCAACTTGCTTCAAAGATGATAAGGACAACTAATCATTTATTTCTGTTTCTGTTCACAGGGCCTAATGCAGTGTTGTACTTTCCATGGATACTTAAGAGCATTTAGTTTATTTAGTTGTTTCTTGCAACAATAGCGTTTGAGCAGTGATGTGTACACTGCGGAGTCCTGGCTCTCTTGTGATACCAACAGAGAGAACAGAACACATTTTAAACTCAGTAACTCCGAGTTGACCCCTCCTCACGTTCTCTGCTTTCTGCTGTGTCCCCCCCCCGCCCCCCGCCATCACTGATCACCACTACCCGCTCCCATGAGGCAGGAACCTGCAGGGTGCACGTGACTCGATCACCCCCGATTTCTCTCGCCACACAATGCCCTCTCCCGCATCTTCTCCTGAAGACAGTAGTATTTATCACCCAAATGACTTTAAGAGCCTCCTCGTGACCTGCTAAAATGTACATTTTTTCATTCAAAGTGTATTTTTGATGACCTACTGTGCATCATCATCTTGATAACACTAAGTCGGATTGGCCGAGACCTCGGTTTGACGGTACTAGAGTTCCTTGGGGGACGTACTCATGTAAACGAATAATCGCAAGGTAGCCCTGCACAGGGTGCCGGGTGTGTGGAGAAGAAGCTTCCCAGGGAGACCTGCCGAGTGGCTGTGCCGGCCCTCTGGGTCTGCATCAGCAGGTAGCGGTCCAGACATACGCATGCATTTAGCAGGTCACGTTCTGCCGCAGGCGCCACTTGCCTGGTTTTGTACACTCTGGACTCCAAAATCTTCACTCTGTTAGTTGCAGATCTAAATACAGTATTTCACTAGGACTTTATAAACATGGGAGAAAAAAAAAAAAACTTGTCGAGAAAGAGTAAACCCACATTCTGTAATAAGTATGTATATTTTCAGATACATGTCTATACATGACAAAATGTGAAAGCTATAAAAGGTGTCAATATAAACGTTCTGTTCTTGCCTGTCAGGCATTTGGTAAACTTCAGCCAGCCTGGCTTAGGAACCAGGCTGTGTGCTTTCCACACTGACTCGGATTTAAATGATCAGCTCCTAGTCATTCAAGCCTGGTGGTAAATCTCACCTAACAGCATGGTGAAAAGATCTTTCCATGGCAGTCCTGTGTCGCTCAGCATCATTCTCTGACAGGCTGTATGAAATCCCAGTGACTGGAGCCACAGTTTATGTGACCAGTCTTTGTGGATGGGCATTAAAGCTTCCGTGATTTTGTTATCATAAATAATGCCGCTTGCAATTCTTTAATTGCCTTTGTCTGCCAAGAAGAGGGTTTAAGTAGTGAGTCATTATCATGATCGCACCTAAGGCTTTGCTTCCCCTCAAACACACTCTGCCTCATTCCAGTGCCTGGCTCCCCGCACTTGCAAAAATGACATGTGTCACTTCAGTTCTGACTCTGTAATCAGAGGCTTTGCATCCGCATTCCCTCTGGCCAAGGTGTTCTTCACAGGCTGTGATTTTGGGCAGGATTTTACAACCCCAGAAAGGAGCTCCTTTTAGGTCCAAGGGGCATGAGAGCTCTTTACTCTGCACAACCTTGGCCCTTCCTTTGTGATACTATTGGCCGTCAATGAAAAGCAGCACCAACAATCGACGGCTAATCAGCTCGTGGCCTGTATTGTACAGATTACTGTTGCGTAATTAGAATTAGACTTTCAAGAGCTTCCACATTCTCATGAGCCATATTCTCTTTCAGAAGCTTAGGCCTTAGGACCTGGAAACGTGGGTTTTTCCTCACACTTGTAGTCTACCTCGCCAAAATCAGGATAAGTTTCTGACTACACCAAACTTATTCTTCATTGTCTACCATAACATTTAGTAGTATTTTAAGCTAATTAGAGTGTTTAAAAAAACACACTCACTGAAAATACAAAATATGAAATTCTCATTCTTTAATAATACTTACAATTTCTTGCAACTAGCCACTCTCTTTCCGGAAGCATGTTTTACCTGAAACAGGTTGCCTGTTAGCTGGCGGCCCAGCGGAGGGCAGGGTTCTCTGTGCCTCGTTTGCTGGTCCAGTCTCAGCACTTGGCAGGGAGCTGGTCACGCATGGATGGGTGTTAGGGAGCTGCTGGACGAACGGATGTTCACTGAAGACAGACAGTAACAAAGTGGTCATTGTGTCGATGCGAGAAGCCTGTGCGTGCGCAGTTGCCCAGTGCACACAGGCGTAGGTGTACAGTGCGTTCTATGATTACGTCGTGGGGGAGGGATGGCATCAAGGCAAGCGGAAAGGCGACCCCTCTTGGCCGGCCCTGTGGAGCCAGACCCTTGATGTTAGGTCTCCGCAGCCTGCATATCGGTGGGTATTCAAAAGGCAGGCCGTGCGTGGCGCCGGGCCTCCGGGTGTGCCGCCGTGAGAGAGGATGCACCGTTGCTGCCATCGGGCTGTGGCAAGGTGAAGACGGCGTAGTAAGAGAGGAGCATCAGAGTTGGGCACCGGGAGACTAGACGAGGGTCCTGGGGTCTCCAGAAAAGGAAGAGGAGTCGAGGGAGCTATAGAAACATTCTCATAATACAGCCTCTTATGTTGACCCAGTTACGGAGAATTCCATACGTGGCTGTGTATCAAGACAGTGGCACTAAGGTCAATAAGAACAGAAAAAATTTAGGAAGTTGATTATTTTTGCAGACTTAAACATAGTACCATGAGGACAATACAATGTTATTCAAAGAACATTTAGTTTCATTTTTTGAGCATATATATTATTTCAGGAGTGGGTGGTAGAGAAACCAGTGGACTATACATCTTTTTATTCACATTCTATATATTGCTGGACAATATTAAGGGATAATAGAAGGTAAATGTATTTTTATACTGTATGCACATGAAGGTATATATGTAAATATTAGTGCCCCACTTGTGCAAAGAAA